ATGTATGTATGTGTGTATGTGTGTATGTATGTGTGTGTGTATGTATGTGTGTGTGTGTGTATGTATGGATGTGTGTGTGTATGTGTGTATGTGTATATGTGTGTATGTGTATATGTGTGTATCTGTATATGTGTGTATGTGTATATGTGCGTATATCTGTATGTGTATATGTGTGTGTGTGTGTGTGTGTATGTGTGTATCTGCTTTGAAGGCACCATATCTGCTGTGCAGTGCTTGAAGTGGTTTATATAACTGGGCCGTTCTGTTCCTTGTGGATCTTTCTCTCTCACACACACACCGTATCCCACTGATCATTACCCTGGGGGGTGTGAGTTTATTACTTCAGGTTTTTCTTTGTGTTTTCTGTGCGAGTATCTCTCTTTCCGCCTGAAAATACGCTTTCTTATATGTCCTTTATTCGGGATATTGTTTTCCCAGACCCCTGAAAAAGTGTCTAACAGGTAATCCATGGTGCGTTCAGCTCTAAGACAGGTCTGAGGAGGGTAAAAGCACTCCAAATCTGTCACAAGCTCAGTGATTCAGTCATCTGTAGATGAGCGTATACAATATGTTACATCTCATCCGAGAACTACTTAGGAAATTTGCACCATCTGACTTGCATAATTAGAACTCACTTTGCAAAGATTGTTTTGATTATTAGAGAGGTATAGTGTGATGTAGTTTGTAAATAAATTACTGTAATGATGACAGAAAGGTATCATCTATTAAATGAGATCAGAGGGGTGTTAAAGTTTGCCTCTAACAAGAATTTTGCCGTTTGAGATGCAACAGAAATCTGTGTTTCATAAAACGCACACTTGTGCACGAACACACACATACAGAGCTGTATTTTTATACTTTATATTACAAAACCTGGGTAGAAAATTACATAAACCGCCTGTAGCTTGGCCTAGAGACCACCTGCAGATATGAGGGAAATGATTTTAATAATGCTCACACACACATACACACATAGATTCAGATGTGATTTAAAGATGTATAACTTCATAACACGTCTGTTGTATAACTCATCGCTCTCCCAAGGGAACTGTAGACTTCACATGCTGATGTGATATACCACATACGCACATACACACTCATACTTTCATGTCTCAAAGTGAATTTATAAAGCTATTTGGCCAGCCAAAGGTATCTTTCATCTTAACTCAATAAATAAACATTGTTCACGATGCAGCGTCTTAACCGAATACTGGACAATCAATACACTGATTTATAGATGGTGTTTGATAGATTTATGAGTTTCTACACAAACTTCGATTTGTGGATGCAGGCATGTTTTTTCCCCCTTTTTTGTGTATGTTTTAAAAAAAAAATATGAATGTTTAAATCCCAAGACTGTCTGCATGTTTTGATGGGGGGAAAAAATAAATTGAGTTTCTTCAAAGTTTTTTTTTTTTTTTTTACAGATGCGTTAAGGAATATATAGAGCGCATTTACAGATTTGATTTACCCTGCTTATATATTAATCTACATGTAATGTGAAAATGTGTCTTTATGTAATTGTTAATTATTGTATTCATAATTTATTACATTTATTTTTATACTTTATTTGACAGACCATGGTAGTAACAATCAGTGTTTTTATTGTTAACTTAAACTATTAAAAATAATTTGCATCAATGAAAAATGAAACAGAATTTAAATAAAATGTTAGATTAAATTTTTTTTCACTTATTGACTTGCCAACTAACAGAAGTAAAATATGTTTAAAATACAAAACTGACCAAAATTGAAAAGAAACAATGCAATTAAAGCTAAATAGAAATATTAAAATAAAAACATTAAAAATGACAAATACAAAATTACTTAAACTAGAAATAAGCTTAAACTGGACATAAAATAAAATCTGAATATATAAAACTATACTATATGTTATACAGTACTATACAATATACTAAAATATCAAATAAATAATACTAATAAATTCTTCCTTTGATTTGCATAATCAGCACTGATTTTTGCACTCCTTAAAAAGACCTGTTCTGAATAGTGTAACTGACCCTTCGCAAAGCTCTGCCCTTTTTGTCACTGTCGCTAGCCTTACAGAACATCTCATATAAATGAATTTTTCAGTATAATATTCTTGTATTATTCTTCGTGAGCTGTAATGAAGTGTGAGCTTGCAAATCATCTTTTATCTTTCTTTAAAGAAACAGTTGAATTAAAACCTGCAACTCAGTATTGAGACAAACGCTTATCACAGTCAACTGAAAAGAGAGAAGCCTCATTTGAAATTGATTACAAATGATAACATTAGCGTAAGTGAATAGAACTGCTTCTAATGTCTCTGCAACACACCATCTGCGCTACTGTGAGCTTTTTAGTAGCTATCACCTCTACTGTGACCTGAATCCATACGTAAATGAATTAACATTAAGTTATTAACATTAATTTACCTTGAAGCAAATGTGGGTGTTCTTACAGATGTGCACTATAAATATATTCATTTTAGAATGAGGGGTGAAACAGATTTTAATCCTTCGCGTGAACCTTTCAAGATTTTGAAAAGGGGAAAATCA